AATTTGGATTGAAATGGAATGATTTGGATTAGGCAAGTCACTCAGAGGTTGTTCCAGCCTAAGTAATCCCAGGATTTGATTGGTTTTTATTAAGGCTGAAGCCACACAGACTTTGGTCAAATTCATAAAATTTGGGGAGAAAAAGTGAAGTTAGCCATGATAGCCGCCTCTGAAATCTTTCTGCGTGCAAACTGCTCCTGACTGCAGTAGGAATTCTGCACATACTATTTGTCAGCATTATTATTTTATGATTTCTGAGGATTGACTCCCTTGCTAAATAGATCTGAACTTGGGAAGATGTGACTCCTCTAGCACCTGCACTTCTGTCAACCCTCTGTCCTCACTGCACGCCCCCTGCTCATCAGGAGCAACGAGCTTTGTTCATACACTGAAGAGGAAAACCTGGCATTAGGAACCAGTTCTTTAACCTTCAGTCACAGCACTAATTTCATTACTTTCAGTGGAATTATTTGCAAGGCTACAGAGTTGACAGCGGTGGTTAGGTCTGCAAGTTAAGGCTCCAAGTTTTACACAGAGGTGTCTGTGACACTGTCCAAAACCTCTGCTTATTGTAGCTTCGCATTTTCTGTAGGAGCTTTGGAAAAAAGAAAACAAACTGAAGGGATTCTAAAAGACTCATGTAATACGTCCCTTCTGCAAACATATGTGAGACTCATCTGTCATTGCCCTGCAGCAGAACTACTAGATGTTAACATTTCTGTGGTGTCGGCTTCTACATCTGGACTGAAGCAGGTTTTCGTGTGACAGTAATTATAATGCTTGTTCTAGGTCTTTTTTCTCTTCTTCTTCTTGGAATTGCATGCACCCACTTGGAAACCTCTCAATCCACAGCAAGACTAGACCTGTTTTTTCCACATGAATGAGTAATTAATTTTGAACAGCAATCCAAAGAAGTATTGAACTGCCTACCAGCAAAGTCAGCTTGCTGCAAACAAAATTCTCCCTCCCCTTAAAAAAAATAATTTTCATGACGGAGAAATTCTTTATGATGTGAAACACCTATTGTGGAACAGTGGAAACTTTAATTAAATCAGTCTTACGGGCAAGCAGGTCTGGTTTTCCTGGTTTTTTCGCAGTATTTTACTACTGCAACTTTAGCACTAGTCACAGAAATATGTCTCTGCTGAGCTTGCCAGAACGTAAGGGAGAAACCCAAATGTAAAGAAAGACTTTGTGGCATCTATTCCTGAAATCAGAGTGTCACTGCAAGTTTTGTTGTAGCCCAGGCCACTGGGAGAGCTCCAGATCCGCCACAGGTGACCAGGCAGTGATGTGCCTATTCACCCGTGCATTTTACTTGCTTGTATCCTTACAGGTGGATCTCACCATACACAAGTAAGGCTTGAGGAGCCTAGGCTAGAACATTTCTAAAAAGGCCCGACCCAAACCAGCAGGCTTATTTTCTCATGACATTTATTTCCATTTTTCTCTTGTTTCTCCTTGCTGGCCCTTCCCACAGGCTCTTTGGGTATTGTCCTCAGCTGGCACTAGTGGCAACCTTGCTACAGACTTCATAGGGTGATCCTCTATGGATCTAACGATGGGCCAGTTGTGATCTCACACTGTTTTCACTTTTATTTTACACAACTGTCTTTAGTGGAGGGATTTCTGCTTTCATTTACTAATTACTGCCAGGGTTTTATAGTCTTACTGGTAAAAGTGTCCAGGCCACATAAGCTAGAGAAAATACAAAACATTTTGTTTTATAGAACATTTCTTTTTAAAAAATGTGGTTTAAGTCAGAGTCACATGCAAGGTTCTCTGGGAGAACCTTCCTAGCTTTTCACAACAGACCCTGTTTCTCCTTAAGAAATGTGTTCTTTTGACCAAGGTGCAAATGGACTGTTTCTCTTCCATAGTAAATATACACTTCTATTCAAATAATGCAAAAGTCTCACGTACCTGCAGACAGCTGTTTTCTGACATTCCCTCCCCCATGCACTGTCTCACATTGTGCAATGGTTCTTTACTTCCTGATGTTCTTCAGTCCTGGGGGTAACAAATTTGTTTTGAAGTATCTGTAGGCACTTTGGCCATCTTCCTGTCTGTCTTTCCAAAGGCATGCACAAGGTTAGTAATCCTATTCCCCAGAACTGCCCAGCTTTGTAGAGAGATCTGCAGGGGCCACACCTGCTCAGTTCACTTTCCTTACTGACAGAGCCTGCAGCTGTGTTTTGCTTTTCTCAAAACCCTTCTCAGTATTTTTCATGGCCAGTACACTGATGGCACACAAATGAGAGACAAACTTAAAAATAAACAAAACACAAAACCAAAACGAACAAAAAAAACCCCCAGAGAAATAACAAAATAATTTTCATCTTAAGAAGCAAAGCACCTGGCATACTCAAAGGGAATACTGAGAAAATGATGGAAAATCAGAACCTGGACTCATGTTTCCTTGTGGGGTTGGGAGTGACTGAAGGATAAAGCCACCTGCTTGTCATCAGCATCCAGAAAAGTCCAGTGGTTCTGTTCACATGAAGTCTTCTTTTTGGGGTAAGTTCCTCTTTTTTGTGCCAGTGCGTGTTCTACTGGCAACGTTTTGGGTTGCATCTTGTCAGTGTCGGCATGACATAAATCATTAGGACCACTGCAGTGGTGAAATGTGCAGTTACACCTTGTATGTCAGAAGTGGTTCCTTTGTCATGAAGCTGCGTTCTCTCCATGTCAAATATTGCATTGTTTAGTTCGGAAATGCACACTTCAGAGCATGCGTTGTGCAACATCTCCCCAGTAAAACATCTTTCTTTAACGTCAT